ATTCAGAAGTACTCCGACTACTTCGTCTCCTCTCCACATGCGCACAGCCCACGCAGCAGCCCTCGCAGCACTCAGAGCGCCCGGAGCCCTCGGAGCTTGACGCCGCGCGCTCCGAGTGCTACGCCGAGTGCCACGCCGCGCCGCGCGCGCAGCGCCACGCCGCGCGGCGCTCCGAGCGCCGCGCGGCCGGCGCGACACTCGGCCGGCCGTGTGGATAGCAGCTCGCCTCGAGTGAAAGCTCCAATCGCTCGTGACTTGGTGGAAGGTCGTTTTTTTGATCCCCCCTTCAGGTGACCAATGGACCAAGGGATGTAGCTGGCAGCTAGACTCACACCGCTGAACGATTTGTGGAATCGGAGTCTTTGCCGACCCACGGATTTACATCTGAGGAGCATCAAAAGGGAGACCATCGGCGAAAAAGTCTTATGAGACTTGGCCGGCTTATGAGACATCGCGTTGACTCGATTTGACCATGAATCACAACCAACTACCCATAGAACATCATAGAACAAGAGCACACGAACCAGAGCCACTACCACCACCGCCGCTACCTCCATAATGGCACTGCCTCAGCTCTCACTTACAACCGCCGTTCAAAAAGCCACAAATACGGAGCAGGAGAGCACGTGGGAGCTTGTCCAAACACAAAGGCATCAGGTACCAGGTGTTTGATGGTTTGGCAGTATGCTTGACTTTCACTTGGCAAGGTTTCCTACCCACGCTCAAGGGGCTGGCAGTCAGCTGGCCTTCCATCGGGCAACACCTATCGTGGTGTGCGTGATTCAGCTGCTTGGGAGTTCTCATTGGCAACCATTTTGTTATATACTTCATGGTGCGGCCACGGTGTTCACAGTTCTGAGGAGCAAGGCTCCTTCCTGAGTGATATTCTTACGTCTTACATCAGTCACCACAAAAGTATGTCACGAACCCCGCACGCGCGAAAGTGTGCCTGAGGCTGGTGTTCGTGAAGGTTGGGGAATGCTCAATCAGAAAGATGGCACCACCTATGCAGGTCAGTGGGTCTCAGGCCTGCCATTTCGGCTCAGTCGCAATCGACGTCGAAGTGGTCCTGTACGGTCTCAGCCGACGAGTGCCGCCGGCTTTTTTTCGCGCACGGCTTCAAACAGGCAAGCGGCATGGCATTGGCACGCTGATGTTTGATGGGGGCATTTTTGAGGGCCAGTGGTCAAGAGGAGAAGCCACTGGTGGTGGTATTGCTGCTTGATGCCAATTGGAAGAGATGGTAGAGCCAGTGTATGGGCAATTCAGTTGTGGCGTAAGCCAGGCGAAATTGCCAGGCAAGATTTCGACAATTGTCCAACAACTTTCAAGGGGCTTTATATAATTGTAATGTGTCTGTGTATAGTAATGTTATATATATATATATGTGTGTGTGTGTGTGTGAGTTTTTGTCGTTTGGGAGCTGCATGTCATGCCTAGCTACTCTTGGCGCCAACTTCACGAGACACAATTGTGAGGTCCGCTTCGACAACGGGGACAAGTTTGAAGGCGATTTTCTGCGATGGTTCGGGGGGGCCACAGGGCTGACAATACGAACCGTTTCTCTCAGGCCAGTACGTGAGCAACCGGAAGCACGGCTTTGGTACTTACTCTTGGGCTGATGGGGCTGTCGAGGAAGGCCAGCCCCTCGACCTTAAGGTGCATGGCACCTGGTGAACAGATCAGTGGAATCACATTGGGTTGCCGTCACAAGCTGTAGTTGTACGAGGCAACCTTTGTGTCTTGCATGTTCCCAGACAGTATGCAGCTGCATCTTTGCACCAAATGGAGTGGGTGCAGGAATTGGGCCTTATGGGTCTTATGTTTTTTTTTGTGCTTCTAAGGTATGTCAATGGCCAGAAAAATGACTGGCATGTGTGGTCTCGGAGGGGTGCAGAGTGGCGATTGCGTCTCTTGGCGGACGACCATCGGTTTTCATATGTTTTCGTTGATTTTTGTTCCAGAAACAGCCGTGAGGCTATGAGGATGGTTGCGTAGTTGAAGCGATCCAGGCCTGGATTTGGAGTTGGGTGGATGCATGTGGCATAGCATGTGGATGTGCTGTTTGAGTCGAGGTGGGGAAGACCAAGAAGGAGAAGCCCCAGTGTTATCCCAGAGCCAGGGAGCCGTACCCACTTTACCCCACAGCTAAAGCGACCAAGTTGCCAAGACCTGTGCCAGGAGCTTGGGTTGATCTGAGAGGTGCATGTTTCTCGGCTCTGCCTCAAAATTTGAGCGCTTCTAAGGCCACAAAAGAGCTTACCCAAGGCTTCAAGGCTGGTTAGCTGTGTTAGTCTGGGCATTTTCAAGACTTTTCAAGACTTTTCAAGAAGCAGACTGCAGGCCCCCTCGGGAGGGCGTAGCCCAAAAGCCGAGAGAGGCTGAGGCTGCGGCAGAGCCATTGGAGCCATTGGGGCAGGACCGACCATGGATGTTGGATAAGGCCAGCGACCAGAGGATGCAAGAGGATGTAAGAGAATGTTCTACCAACAGTCAGGAACGTTCAGATCAATCAGATGGAGGCAACCCTGCAGCGCTTGAATCCGACCAGGGACTCAGGGGGGGATCCCTGGGCACGTAGGGCCGCTACGGGGAGGAAGGGTGCAAGATAAGGTCAAGACGAAGAATATACAGACACAGGACTGAGTGAAGCTTTCCCCTGACCCTTTTGTGCAATGTGAGCCAAGCTCGCGAGGTTCCAATGGCAGGTCGCTCACCAGCCCAGCTTGGACAGCCACGCGAATGAAACGGCAAGCCTTCTACCAGTCCACCAAGCCAACTCGCCACCAGAGCCTGAACAACAATGCCGACTGAAGTTCCATCCAGAGACCACCAGACTCTGAAGGTACGTGCGAATGCATGCTTTTGCCACAGATCCATCACGGTGTGAATGTTGGGTAGAGTTGTCGACCACCGAACTCGCGGACGTGAATGGTGCGTCTACCGACGTGTGGCGTGCAAAAGGAACAAGATCAACCAGTGGCACTCCCAGTGGTGTGCAACGACATCATCTCGCATCCCTTCAGGCCCTTGAGAAAGAGGAATTGCTCTTAACCTTTTAGCCACTCTTCGAGTCGAAGATCTTCCACGTCACATGCGACGTCTGAAGAAAGATCGAAAGTTGAAAGCCCCCCCACCTTTTCTGCCAAAACAAGTGCCACGCTAGTAGTAACAGGTGCCTTTCTAGTAGTAACAAGAAGCTAGTAGGAACAAGTGGGAGTAAAGGTCAAGGGCTGTACGGTGTAGGTGTAGGTCTTCCAATGCCATGAACGCACTTCCGGATGAGACATCGCTCGGAGGACGCGTCCTCTGCAGTGGCTCCGGATGACCTCATGCAGGACTTGCAACCTCAAGACCTACAGCCGCCCACTGGGACCACGATGCATTTCTCGGTCACCGAGGCCGAAGGGAGGTTTATCCGGGAGTTCAAGTTGATCTCCTCTTTTTCAACCACCTACGGCTGATCACGGCTGTTTTTTTAAATCTTGACGGTTTTTTTTTTGGGCTCCCCAATTAAGGTAGGGGTGCAGAGTTCAGAAGGTGATTGGCGATTCATGAATGATGAAGCTAGCGCCCAGACTTCCGACGACTTTGTGCTTGGCGCTCTCTGAATGCCAGGAGATGCCGGCCCAGTTTGCAACTGACGCTGGGCCCAAACGGTATGAGGGGAGTGGCTGTGGAAGAGGGAATGCCGAAAACTGTGGTTTTCAGGGCGTGGATACTGGATGATGCTGGCCTGTTGCCTGCAGTTCTATGATGTTCTATGTACCTCTGGTTCTATAATAATATATGATGAAAATATATTAACATGTTCTTCTATGACAAACTGTTGGCATTCAATCCTCGTTAGTTGGATTTGTGTTACTCCTTTGCGGTGAAGCTTTTCAACAATCACTGTGGATGCTGGTCTAGTCTCGTCCTTTCTCGATGCTGAGGCGGATGCCGAAGATATTGAAAATCGCTTGCCGCGGATGCTGGTTGGCTGGCGGCATTAACGCCCAAGTCGCTCTTTTTTCCTCCTCAGAAGGCAACACCGAAACCATGAAATTGTGATGGTGTATGGCGAGACGTTGCAAATGAGTCGCTAGAGTCACTCATCCAAGCGAGGTTGACCGGCTATATCAACAAGCAGCTCTTCCACAAGACGCTTGTCCAGCGAGCATCACGCATATGGGGAGTCCGGGGCTGCTTCCGAGCGGATTTGTTGTACCCGAGGAGGCCCACCAATCCTTTTGAGCATCAACGAGCCTAAGGACGCCCGAAATTCGAACGGTTGGTTTGCATGACCCGGTGTTGCTAGATGGTTGGTTTTGCAGCCCAAGGGCACGAAAAGAAGAGAGATGTGAAGAAACAAGATGAAACAAGGGATAGCATGTTGATTGAAGAGTTGTACGTTGCCTTTTTGCTTGCTCAGGGGCCATGGGCTGTGTCAGGTTAAGTTAACGTCTTGGCGCAGCACTCGATCCGAAGTCGTACCAAGTGCTGCAACAAGAACCGCTAATGAAGCCCTGGGAGTGTCTGCTGAAGCAGATACAATCAGAGCCGTTTTTTTGTGCGGCAGAGCATTTCGAAAAAAGCAAAGACGTGTGAGCACAGAGGGGCTGGGGCTCAACGTGTGTGATGTGATCAGCTATTCCCAGAGATGAGCTTTGAAGGGTCAGCATACCACAGTGAGAGCTTAGCCATGAATTCTTTGGAGGCGTTTGCTCAAGAACAGTCCTATTCCCTAGCGAATATCAGCAATGCTTATAGATGGGTGGACTCCCACAACAACCCAAGAATGCCTGTGGAGAAGGTTTGGTTGTTGTAATGAGGACATGCTGCGGTGGGTATATGGAGCTTATTTCACAAAATAGAACAGAAGCGTACATGACTTTTGTTGCCGTTTTTTGTTTTCTGTTTTCGGGACCCTCGCAACAACCCAAGAAGAAGGATTGGTGCTTGAGCTGGAGGACTGCATGCAGGATCATCAATGGTCCGCCAACTAGTTTATGAATTTAGATTCGGATGTGTCACTTGGGTGCTCATCGCCAATTTGATGCCATGGGCAAATCAACGGCCGGCTCAGCCAGCACCTTGTCGCAAATGATTGTCAGGACGTTTTGGTAAGGTTTTTGAAGCCTTTGACTGATGAGGGGGGGTGTTATTAGAAGTGTCTAGCTTCCTTGACGCTCATTGACATGAGTGGCAGCATGGTGAGAAACAGGGTGAGAAATTCATACTTTTCAGTAGAAGCATTGCGCAAGGAAGGCCGTCAAGAGTGGTGAGTGCGAAGGATTTGGTGGAGCCCCGGCCAAAGTTGACAGATCTCCATCAATTTTCGTATAAATTTTCGCATACTTGATACTCCTTTCAACCGGGCAACAGAGGGCGGCAAGTATTGCATCAGTTCCCATCGCGCGAAGCTGAGGAGCAGGCCAAAGTGGCCAAGGATGCAGGCGGAGTGGCAGAAAGCAGACCAGACGTGGCTCTACGGGGCTCTACGGGGCTCCATGGATTGTTGAGCTGTACTTGAGGCCAACACCAACTTGCCCTGGAGAAGCTGCAGCAAGCAGCAAAAAGGGGCCGAGCACAGTCAGAGGCTGTGCAGAAGATGCGGTGATATGTTTGGGGTTGGATTAGCCACCCAAAGGGGGGCCAAACCACTGACAGGTCGCGAGGTACGAGCTTGCTTTGCTTCATGCCCAGCTGGGCCAGCACGAGGCACAGAAGATCGGACGGAAGAGCAGGTTGGACTGTGTGAGACATTGAGGACTTGCCTCAAGGAGGATCATTGATCGTCATATTCAGAGTGCCCAATCCACAGCTTCTGGAGTTCAGTTGTATCAGCCTGCGGACAGTAGACGCGGTCGGAGCTTTGGCATGCCCCCCAAAAAGCCAATTGCTTAGCCACTCGGAGGAGTCCAATCGCTGGCTGCAAGAGTTGGGCTTTGCCTGGAAGTGACCTGGCAACATTGGGCAACCCCATATAGTGGTCCCCAAATAGATAGAAACGGTTTCCAATACATTTGGAGTGGGGATCTACTTTTCTATCCATTTGGGGTTCTGTAATTATGTATGACTATTTTCTTAACATGTAAGTACTGTAAGGATGTGATCCACATCTTGCGACGAGGTTAAGCCCTGCGATCTTGGACGGCACGTGCTTGTTGGGCAGCCACACACCAGGCGCCCCACATCGGTTTTCCTAAAAGCTGCCGTCCTCGGGTTTTCACGGCGCGTTTTTGCAGTCGAAGAAACTATTTTCAAGCATTGTGCTCAGCACAGAGCACTCGCTCAGCAGCCCCCTGAGACAGCGCCACGAAGCTGCCGTGTAGGTGAAGAGAATCTGGTGGTTGCTTTTGATGATGCTCTGCCGCTGGAGCTTCTATCATCCCTTCAGGCGCCTTATGAGTGTCGATGATGGATGCACCATTGGTCTGTGAGCGCAGGCTTTGAGTGTTTGTTCAGCATGTGTATCAATGTCACAGTGCGCAAGTGATGACCTTCGCAAACACTTTGACACGACATACCGATATACATTCTACATGCATAACTTAACTACGATTCTTTTTTATGTCTATATAATATGTTTGACCGTTTTTTCGAGGAGCTGCGACCACACAACGTTCTTTTGTTCAATCTAAACTTGCCCACTGGGCAGTTCCACCAGAAAGCATGACTTGCCCAAGCGCACTGCGCCCATTTTGACATTTGTCCAAGGGTGTTGAGAGTGGGGCATGACATGTGTGAAGTTTCTGACAAAGACTCTTTCCCCCCTGAGATAGATACCTCAAAAACGAACAAAGCCCCCGGTCAAACCACTTCAAGGGCATGTGCTCGCAGCGATGGGGGGGCCGGCTTTAGTGGTGTCAAGATTCCAGTCAACCTAGATATGCCTTCAGGTCCGAAAGCCTCTTAAGCCTGGCCATGGTGCGTGTGCGTTTCACTCCTTTCCACCCAAAAAAAACATGGCTGGCCCACTTCCGTTAGCCTTAGGACGCCTTCAAGCCAGAGGCAGCATTTTGGAGCGAGCTGCTTGGCAGAGGAAGCCCCTTGAGCATGATGCCTTTGGATTGGGGTTGAGCTGCCGACAAGTGTGAAGGGGAGGAAAATCAGGATGCGCAGCCCCACGTAGTGGCACATGGATTGATGGCAATTGAGTAGACCTTCATTCATGTTTCCGTGCCTTTGACCATTGACAACCTGCGGAGCTTTTCCACCAGAACCGGACGAAAGGCCCTTGAACCACCCCTCTTTCAATACCCCAAATCATTCTGAGGCATTGCTATCCAACGCCCGGCTTCTTTTCCTACAATCAGTCCTTGGAGGATGAGGGCGAAAGAGTGGCATCACTGGGCAAGACACGAAAACTGGAGTAGGCCTCAGTGTAAAGCTGTGGCTTGATATGGTAGCCTTTGATGCAGATCGGTCCTATTTCATCCTGTTACCATGTCCCACCTTCCCATCAATGTTGTCAGCCTCACGTGGAAGGAGAGCAGCTTGACCACTTTGGCAGCACAAACTTTAGAGCGACTAGCTGCCAAGAGCTTCCCAGAGGTTTTGCAGAACCAACGGGTGACCTCGCTCGAAGCTGGGCGTGGCGAACGGGTCGCGTCGCACGTCGTCGCCATGCACATCACGATGAAAAGACCACTGAGGAATGGTGGGCACATTCACGTCCTGCTGGAAGTGGAAGTGGGCACCAGCTTCACTATGATTTGGATGAAGTTGACTTAAGAGCGCTTGAGGCAAGTCGTTGCCTGTTGCCTGGTGGACATGTAGTAGATGGTTGTTTTTTGATGTTTCCCTTTTTTGGTGCAAGATGTGGCTCTCTTCAAAGCTTTATTATGCGTTATTCTTCCGCAGGAAGCAGCTACACCAAAACATCCCCTGGTCTCGTGCGTGCTGTATTTGAGTGGATCCTTGGCGGGGAGGACGGTGGAAAAACACATCACACTTGGCAGGTTTTCGTCGAATCTTGAGATTCTTGCTCTGGGTTTGTTACCGAGCCTGTCAGCAACTCAATCAGGTCAGCTAGGCGGCTCGGCTGACGTTTCACTTTCGCTTTGCTCTCAGGTAGCGCTTCAAGGTGCTCCGTTACCATGGCGCCTGGGCTGAGTATGTGGGAGCCGCAAATTCCGCGCGGTCCATCCAAATCACTTCAGATCATGCTTGCTCAGCACGTGGAAGCAACGACGAAGTGCACGAAGTGGCGCACGCAAAAGGAATCAATCAAACGCCGCTACAGATAGATGCCAATACATAGGCAGCTTTAGCATGCTTAAACATGGCATGAAGGCGGCGGGCTGCAAAAAAAAGCGGCCTTTTGCAGGTCACCGACCAAGATCTACAACCTGAAAGCCGAGCAAAGCGGGCCTGGCTTTGTGAGCCTAAGGTGAACAGAGCCACTGGTCTGTTTAGGGCACCGGTGGGGCAACAGTGATGAACAGAAGAGCAGGGTAACCCCCCCCAACAACTAACATAGAACCTGAGAATTGACCCGTGTTTTCGACCATTTTCCGAATACCAACTATAACCCAGTGGTTGCAAGGGTGATCAAGCATGAAGAGTCCGGTTTGGAGGAGTGCCGCTTCTTCTGCCGCTTCAGGCGCTATTGTTCAATGGGAAACTACTTCATGGCGTCATCCCAAGTTTGGCCTCTCCAGATTCTCAGGGGCCTCGGATCACTCTGATGCTGGGCTTGTGGGGAACGCCTGGACCTTCTTGCCACCCGGCTCAGATGGGGTTTTGAAGGAACAACATCAGACACACCGTGCTATGCAACTCTGATATCTCCACGAGTTATGTGGCTATTAATAGTAGGTTGGAGGCCATCGCTCTTAGGTTGGAGGCCTTGGCAATTAGGGGATGATGCAACTCTGACATCTCCAGCAACTTGAGGTTCTCCCGCGCCAGAAGGGCCTGGACGAGACCTAGGATGCCAGTGCTAGTGCACAAAAAAACTTTGTGTGACGAACAGTGCAAGCTGCTTCATGGCTGTTCCTTTGTTTGTCGCTTCCTTTTTTTGGGCGTTTCCCAGTTGCTTACCCTAGCAGGACCTAACATGTGTCTAGGATGCACTGGTCCATGTTTCGAGTTGGACACTATAGGTGACATCAGTAGAACACACTGAAATCCAGTCATCCAGCAAGAGTTCTCTCGATGAACTCACGCAAACCTTAGCCAACTGAGTGATATTTGGTTCTTGACGCTCTAGGTTTCCCAGTTGGTCCCTCGTGTGAAGCTGAGGCATCTCCCTGAGAAAGGCTTTGACTGGCCTGCGGCCTTGGAAGTGACAAGACTTTCCTCTTCCAAAAAGCCACGTTTGGAGGTCACAGAGGAGCCATGGGCAAACCGTTGGAAACAAAGAAGAACAACGAACACCATGTGTCCCTGGACGTTTGGAAACGAAGTGGAGCACTGTTCCACAGCACGAACGCCCACATGTTAATCCAACCAAGTTCACAGAGTTTTCGAATTCACCGGTGACCTGACCGGACCGTGCCCACGGTGTGGCCGGACGATCCTCGAGGCATCTCCAGCTCTCTTGGCACCGGTTAGCCCTGTGTGGTGCACCGTCGACACCGCGACGGGATCGCCGAAACGAAGCTCGGTGGACTTCCTGGGCAAATGGTTTTTGCAGGAGGTGCCCGGGCTGAACCGGATGGCAGTCGCCCAGAGCAGCTGGTGACGAGTCGACGGGGAGTTTGAAAACGAACGTTGAAAGTCCAGATGAACGCTGGGAGCGTGTGACAGGTCACGTGAAACATACAGTTGAACCTCAGATGTTGTCCTTGGTGTTCTAAGGATAGGTAGACTGCAGGTAGACCCCTACTGTACACAGCCCCCCTAGCACTCTCCATCAGGGTTGCCTCGTTTTTGCTTGGTGTCCCCAAGGCGCCCGAGCAGTTGCAGCGCTTTGCGCCACGCACTATCGAAGTGGAGGCCCGTGATGGCACGGCTTCCGTGGTGAGAGTCCTTGCTCCTAGTATTCAGGCCAGGAGCCCCTAGTAGCTTCTTGCTCC